TAGAGCCTTGATTCTACGGGTATAAATGCAGGGACCGGACGAAAGTTCTCCATACAGGTCCTGGGATGAATTCTCCTGATGCCAGAGCAGGGGCTTGCGGGCCAGGCTAGAGAACAGGTTTCCTCACCTACCCTGGGACCAGCCTCTCTGCTGCATCCGGGCAGCCACCAGGAAACCGGGCACAGTAACATCCAAAATGCACAGACTCCTTTTTGAGATTCCTACTGGCGTCTGGTATCTGTTTCATTCTAGACTGCTAAGGTCACACTAGTTCCCAGTCCCTCTGACCTGAACTGTGACGGAGGAGTGCCCTCTAGGTGCAGAGGACAGGAACCAACACGCCCTGGCATCTCCCTTCCCTTACTCTCTGAAGCTTCACAGGCGTCCGTACACCAGGCCCAAGGAAATGGGTCCTTACAAGCACGGGACACTACTGATTTCCATCTTCAGTCCTTCGGTTTCCTAGAAAGGCCTGTTTTCATCGCAAGGCAGTTAGGCCGGACATCCTAGAAGGGATGGGAACTTGAGTAGGCCAGCAAAGGGGGCTCGGTCTCTGTACGCTAAATCCAGTTCATGGGTTGGGACTTAAAGCCCGTTTATTGATAATATTTTAGTGTCGGTAACATTGAATGTGGCGGAATAGAATCACCCAGGCAGCTTTGGATAAAAGTACAAAGAACTGGGCACGGTGGCTCACACCTGTAATCCCAGCAATCTGGGAGGCCAAGGTGGGAAAATTGCTTGAGCCCAGGAGTTCGAGACCAGCCTAGGCAACAAAATGAGACCTCATCTCTACAAAAATGTAAAAATTGAACTGGTGTGGTGGTGCATGCCTGTAGTCCCAGCTACTCGGGAGGCTGAGGAGGAAGGATCTCTCTGATCCCAGGAGGTTGAGGCCGCAATGAGCCATGATCGTGCCACTGCACTCCAGCCCGGGTGACGGAGTGAGACCCTGACTCAAAAAAGAAAAATAGAGGAAAAAGTACAAAAAGCTGGGCTCTACCCCTGCAGCTTCTAGTAGGTGTGAGACTAGTCCTGGGACAGCTGTGGTTTTAAAGCCCGCAGGTGAGCTGGGAGGCGGCCAGATTTGGAACCCACTGCTCGGCAGAGTTCTGCCGCCTCTACATGCTGACGGGCGGGTCTTCATCTCTGCTCTCCATTTTCTCATATCTCAAAAGTAAATAATGAGTCTGAGATTCCTGTGCCTTTCTTAACCGACTCCGAGTGGAAAATGCTTCCTCTCCTCCCTTTCCCTCAGAAATAAATCGACTCCTCTGGGCTGTGCTCTGCCTTTAGATCCAGCTGCCAAGTCCTTGGGGCTCCTTGGAGGGATGGAAGCTTCTGGAAGTGGAGTAAGCTGGCACATCAGTTCTCTTTTCTTTTTTCCTCCCTCCGTCTCTCCGTTCCCCTTCCTTCTTCCTTCCTGCCTTCCTTTTTTCCTTTCTCTTAATAGAGACGAGGTCTCACTATGCCGCCCAGGCTGGTTTCGAGCTCCTAGGCTCAAGCAGTCCTCCCACCTCAGCCTCCCAAAATGCAGGGATTACAGGCGTGAACCACTGCACCCAGCAGTTGTCTTGTCTAATAAGACCGGCTGAAGTGACGGGGGAGGTGAGCCAGGAACTGAGCAAATGACCAGATGACTATGGACTTCTCCCAAGACACCGACACTCCCTCCCTATCATGCCCTGGCAGGGGCTGGGGCACAGCCTTACCTGTCCATCTCATTGAGCTCCCTCTATCCCTGCTTCCTTCAAAGCCCTCCTCGGCCACAGCATCCGCCCAGCCTCCGCCCACCATGACCTCTCCCTTTGTGAATGCAATGAGCATATCTTCATGGCCTGGCCGTTTCACTCCCTCTCACACAGTGTCTTGTATTGAACAAAGACTTTCTCAGCTCTGGAAGCCCCTGGAGAGTAGGTCTGTCCTGCTTTTGTTCCCACTCCTTCCCTTCCATGCCTCTTGCATGGAAGAGGTTCTCGATAGCTGCTGACTGCTGCGGTTACTTCATTTTGCCATCTGCAACCAGAAGAGGAAACACAGGGCCAATGTTCCAGAGTGGTCTGAATTTCCATTCTGAATCCTGGCTGTTTCTCAACTCCATGTATAAACCACTCTGTGGCCATTACAAAGGAAGACTGTTGTATACAAAAGCATCTGAATGTCACACATCCTCTCTCCAACTCTGGGGAGGCAAGCACCATGTATCCTAGGCAATTATCCTGAGTAAAGGCCTGGGTTTTCTAGAGAAAAAGCCCAGAGTGCCTTACCTCACAGCTACTTGCACCTGCTTGCCAAGCTGCCAGTTTTTGTGGCTTCGGCTCTAACGCAGTGTGTGGGTTTGGACATCTTGCCAAGTGTTTCAGATGTCTGAAGCCAGACCTGGATTCAGATCCAACCTCCTCCACATGTTAGCTGTCTGTCTTTGGGCAAGTTACTTAAAACATATACATCAGTGTCCTGGTCTATGTAAAGGAAATAACGGCACCTCCTCAAAGGGTTATTCTGAAGACCAAATGAGTTACTACACAAGAAGCACTTAGTACGTGGAATAGTAAGCTCTTCATACGTGTTCATTGTGGCTGTGACTCTTTGGAGAAGTAGTCTAGGGAACTGGAAGATCTTGTCCTAGCATTTATTTGTTTTGTGACTCTGGATATAAAAACCCCCCAAATCTCCATTCACTCATGTATAGCATTAAAATATTGCTATGCCTGTCTCACAGAGTTGCATTAGGTTCCAATGAGCTAGCAGATGTGAAAACAATTTGAAAAGTATAAAACCTGCATAAATGCAGGGTAACAGCCAGGCAACGTGGCTCACACCTATAATCCTCAGCACTTTGGGAGGCCAAGGTGAGAGGATTGCCTGAGCCCGTGAGTTCAAGACTAGCGTGGGCAACTTGGTGAGACCTCATCTCTACAATAAATAAAAAAATTAAGGCCAGGCTCGGTGGTTCAGCCTGTAATCCCAGCACTTTGGGAGGCTGAGGCGAGTAGATTGCCTGAGCCCACGGGTTCGAGACCCACCCGGGCAACTTGGTGAGACCTCATCTCTACAATACATCAAAAACTAGCCAGGCGTGGTAGTGTGTGCCTGTAGTTCCGGCTACTTGGCTACTTGGAAGGCTGAGGCAGAAGGATCGCTGGAGACCAGCAGGTCGAGGCTGCGGTGGCCGGGAGCGTACCACTGCACTCCAGTCTGGGTGACAGAGTGAGACACCAACTCAAAAAAAAAAAATTAACA